ATAAGTCAACAATGATTTATCTAGAACTACAATATTTTTTATTGATGGTTGATGATGGGCTTATATGAGCCCGAAACTTGTTCCTTTAAGATTGATCTTCGATCATTCTAATAAATGTTGTGGAGATAACTTTGGGTTTTCATCTATGAATCAATTATTATTTTTCGATCTGTCTTCATTTTCACAATAAAAAGGGCAATTTGATGGATGATTTTGTACAAACTTACTAAATACTGCAACAAAATATCCTGAAATTTCCCCACTTCCCACTTGTGTGGGAAAACTTTTCCCGCACTACTGCGGGAAAATAACACTTCCCAAACTAAAATGCGTGCGGGTATAGGGTGAATCACGCACTCATTTTCAGTTTCAATATATATTTCATTTGTAGGTATGTTCTTTCAAAATATGACGTGAGAAAGGTAATATTGACGAAACATTCGTATTGGGAGTGAATTTTTCTCTAATATCTTATCTGAGATTTTTAAATTTTTCAGTTTTTCTCCATAAGGTACACTTTAAGGGTTTGAAAGTTAGTTTTCCGAGAATCCGTAGTACCGTTTTTCAACTTTTCAACTAGAATACCTGATTGAAATACTATGGTCTCATGTTCGGAATGAAAATATTCCTGGAATAATTTTTAGTGACATCTCTTAGCCACATTTTCCTTATGACAATATTTAACTGGGTACACCTGAGAACACCTGTCTAAGGATTAACAGAAAGGGATCCGGTAAGAATGGTAGAATTTTACAGGTTCATGATAAATTCTGATGCAGAAAATATAACTTTGTTATCCAGCATTTTATGGACGGTTGAGTCAAAATTCAGCCGCAAAGGCATAACAAATTTTCATAATATTCATTATTGAACCGTAGAATACTGGGTACGAGAAGAGTCCCTGCATAGGTACGAATAGAGTCCCATCAAAGAAACAGTATTCTCCATCCGAAAAATATACTTTCAATGAAGGTAAGATTGTTTAAAAAAAGTAGTCTCCTTTCTGAGATAATGATCCTTTCTCACGATTTTATCAAGAAATGGATCGGGTTTGAAAAATATTTACTTCATAGGAAGAAGGTTCATTAAGGCCGAGGAAGGTTAGATTGTTTAGAAATACTAGTCTCCTTCCAAAAAATATACTTTCGATGAAGAAGGTTCATTTAGGCCAAATGAGGTCAGATTATTTGGAAAAAGTAGTCTCCTTCTATAAGATATGGTTCTTTTTCACTATTTTGTTAAGATCAGTAGAAGGAAGTGAAAATATAGGTACCATATACAGGGTGCCCATTTTTCGAGCTTCTCCATGGGGATCTCAGTTATTATAATGGTATATACGAGGTAGGTTAAATTAATGCAAAGTTGCGCAGTTTCATGCTGAACATTTATCGAATAAAACGAAAATTGGTAATTTTCGTTTTTATTTTCTCAAGCGGAACCAGAAGACCTAGACGTTTCTGACTAGGAATTTTCAAAAATGCAAAAATCCGATATGGCGTCTATGACAAAAAACAAAGTTGTGTGTTGTAACTTTGGCATCACGAACGTCATGGAAAATACAATGACAGATTCAGATTCCTTGTAAAAAAGTGCATCAAGAATGTCCTAGTCAGAAACGTCTAGGTGTGTTGGTTTCCGCTTGAAAAAATAAAAACAAAAATTATAAATTTTCGATTTCTTCCAGTAATTCCAGTAATCATATACACGTATTAATAATCAATACGGATAATCTCTATCTGTTTCCATAGCGAAACATGAAGCCGATTTTTGAAGACAAATGACTATCCATAAGGAAAAGTTTTGAAACGATCAGACACATACTGCTTTGATTGAAAGGCTAGTAAACGTCATTGTCCACCGAAACGCATGTCTTTGATGACTACTATAATAGCGCATGGCGCATGCGTATCATGCCACCAAATCCTTATGGATATTCATTTGTTTCATATTTTTTGCTTCATCCTGGCACCCGTTATGATCCGTATTGTTTATTAATACGTATATGCCAGTAATTCAACAACAAAAAATGATACCTCAAAATTTCTTGCAAATAAATGTTCAGCATGAAAATGCCCAACATTGCTCTAATTCAACCGACCAATAGTATCTCTTAATAGCTGAGATCCTCATGGTGGAGCTCGAAAAACGGACACAATCGATAATACACCAATAGATTAAGCAAAAAACTCAGTAATATATATAGTTAGAGATACCTATATCTATATCCGGCTTCGTACAAGTTACTGTATGTATGCATCATCACCTGTTGCTTTGCTGTTGCTATTTCAAATTTCATACTGTAAACCTGTCTCGAAGTTGACTAAGTGTAGTCGCTATGCGCAAGCGCAATAAACTAACACAACACCTTGAGAGACTGGAGCCGAGACGTTTTCTGTACAATCTCCAAGAAGTTAGGTATAGTTGGCTGTGTAGACCATGTGAAAGTAAAATCCCGTCTAGTAACCGGACCCCTAGGTTTTGTTGTTTTTTTCTGGCAGTTTGGTCCGGGATTGTGAAAAATGTGGCTACTGGAAAACTTCGGTGAAAAACGAAGGATTATTCTGTTATAAGTGTCCCAAAACTGGGTTGCTGTTCTTACCCACTATTGATATTACCCGATTAGAAGACAAGACCAACTCAGGATCCTCTCTATTGTTCATAAAGGTAAACATTATGATACTATACTTTTATATACTCCTTTTTTGAATTACGAGTGGGTAGGTGAGTACATATAATATTCAGAACAAAATTCTGGAATGTTTGTTGCCTTAAAACTTGCTTTGAAATACAAGGTGTTCGGCATATAATTTGTTGTTTGTCGGTTTAAACTGAGAACAATTCTGGGAAATGATGTGTGACTACTAACTCTAGGCTGACAGGTATTTTATGACCGACTGTATACTTGGTGTATTACCGCAAAGGTTAATAACCGCTTTAGCCATATAAGTGCAAGGAAATGATATTTGTGTTCTATACATAATTTCATGCAGACGAAATGTATTCATAGTTCATAATTGGATAATATATAGGGTGTTACATAAATATGTTGATATATTCAAATGACGCTGATAAGACAATTTCAAGGGAAAATCTAACTCTATTCTATATAGACTTGTGTCCGAACAAGCTTCGTTTCGGAGACACACAGGGTGTTAAAATTGTTTTGTTTGTTTTTTTTTCATTCACTTTTGCAAAGAATGAGTTTTTGAATAAAATTTGGTATCCGTTTGTTTAGGTGCATGAGAAATTGTAACTTCTCATTGATTTTTATTTAAAGCCTATACAGGGTGGCATTGAAATGAGTGCAAATATTTTAAACCCTACTATCGAATGGTACCAATAATAAATAATATAGTATTCAGAATAAAATTTGGAGTGAGACTCATTTTTCCACCTAAAGTTCTACACTGATGCAATTCTGACGTCACCTTTGTTCAAATTTTCGTACGGAAGGGACATTCACGCTGAGTTCAATCATTTAAATTTTTTTAAAGTGGCGTACTTGAGTTTTTTCCGTTTTTTGTTAAATTTTCGGAATAAAATTTATAGTTTAATGAAGTAATCAGAAAAATCTGATATCATGGGAGGAACATTCGTTAGACTGTATTATATCGATGTGCTGAATATATGTACTTATTTCAAACACACCTCATATACAGGGTGAGTCAGAATGAGATAAAAAAATTCATGAAGATGTATGCAATATTGTCTCAGTTATTATCAAAAAACTGAATATTTTTTAAAACTTCATCGCCAAGTATCTCAAAAGTTAAAACTTTTTGGAAATATGTTCATATGAAGTTTTCTTCTTGAAACGAGTCAAAGAATCACACCCTCGAATATTAGCATGTCTTTAAGGCACACCCTGTATATATAAAGAAATACATTGAGAATTCGCAGAATGATATTATATGCATATCTTTATATGAAGGAGAATGCAAATTCTCTACTTCAGAAGATTTTGTCTTCAAACTCTTATCGTGAATGTTCAATATTATGAAATTCAATGTTCGTCGTGGCATATAGACAGGAAATTAGTTGTTTTCTGTTGAATAAACCGAGAAAGAATTGATATTTTCATCATATATATAGATAATGCGAATTCTCAATGTATTTCTTTATATCTCTATCCATTTTTTTATGTTCATAATTATATCTGAGAATATTCCTTTTCAATATATAGTAATGGTATTATTCGATGAATGTATTTTACATAATGTTAGGTATTTACTACCGACTATCTTTCCCACTGTTTTTACCATCCCTAACAACACCAGTACATCCTAGGGACTTCGGAGGGATGTTCCAGGGACATCCGCTTGCCGCCTAAAAAGGCATCCAAGGGATGTCCTTCTGGTACGTCCCTGGGATCTACCAAGTACGAAGGAAGGATATCCCAAGGATATTCCAGGGACATCCCTTCGGCAAAAAAAAGTGTTGGTCGAATCCCTATACTCGACCCGGGACCTTTAGCTTATCAGGTACGCACCTTACTCCATTGGCTAATATGCCTTCTGAAGATTTATGTACTAAACAGATTAATAAACAGGACTAAACTACAGAAACCTGAATAAATACAACTTTGTTAGGATTTGGGTATAATTATTATCATTCTTGAGTGTTTAAAAATGAGGGGCATTATGCATTTACGATTTCTGTTTGCGAAAAATGGTCATTTCTCGAGAAGTTCTGAGACTATATATTCTTTATTTTCATTACAATTATTTTCCGGAAGAAAAACAAACATTTTCAGAAAAATTCAACTCAATATTTTGATGAAATTCAATGACTCTGATGTGAATGGATATCAGATATTCCAGGGACACGAATAGGATAACCTAGGGATGTACCGGGCGGGATGTCCACTGGTCAACCACTGCGGGACATCCCCTGGATGCCCCAATCATGTCCTTGTACCGCAAAAACCAAAAAAGGGACGTGCCTAGGACATCCCTGTGTTGTTAGAGATTCCTCAAACAATCGTTATTGAAACATTTCAGCCACCTGAAAGCCGAGCTACAGACCCTGCGCCGCAAGGGGGCGTTGAAGCCGTCCGCCGACCGGGACAGCGCAGGAGCAGGACCGGACCCGGGCAGGGCGTGCGGGCGATGCAGAGCCGGCCTCGGCCGGGTGGTCAACAGGGGCGCCTGTTGCCAGGCCTGCCGGCTGCGGGTGTGCAAGGCGTGCAGGGAGTACGCGTTCGGGACCGCTGATTGGGTGTGCACCGTCTGCCACAAACACATGTGAGTTGGTATATGTATATTAGTGAGGGTTACTTAGCTGTGTGCACGTGTATGTATACCCTATGTACAGGGTGGGCAAAATTGGGCGTTTTCACCGTCTATCTCAATAACTAGAGGAGTTATCGAAAAACCGATATACATGTTCCGAGTTCGATTTTGGAGAAACCTCGAATGGCACAATCAAAATTTCGATATCTTCATTCGTTTTAGAGATACAGGGGGAAATTGAAAATTTGCCGATTTCGATTTTATTTTCTGACTACTTTACGGTGAGAGGTATCAAAAAATTTCAAACGTATATTTATACAGTATGATGCGTGGAATCCATTGGCATCATCAGAAATTTTATACAGGGTGACGTTGAAAAGATACGGCAGCCAATTATGTTTTTTTAATCGAACACCCCGTATATTTTGGCACACTTGAATAGTCCCAGGCGTTCTCATTACAAATATATATATATAACCCTACCTTTTCCTTCCACAATTTCAGATATATTCGCAAAAATATATTCAGTGTGTCACATTTTTATGGTTACACCCCCGTATCTTCTGTAAAAATAATTGAGGTAGGATTCAAAAATTCGCAACTGTCAGAAAGATACAAATGATACACTCATGGAGTCATGGACCAAGTGGGATCATCTCCAATGATAACACTGCTCGCCAGCAGCTATGGAATCATCGATATTTCTGGATAATGCTATCAACAGGCAGAATCGAGGTTGAAAATGACACTCTGTATATATTCTCCAAATGTGGAAAATAAATATCATAGGGAATGTAATCTCCAGATAAATGGATATTTGGTGGGAAATAAAATGGGAAATTATTCGATTTGATATCATTGTTATCAAGACATTTGAGATACAGAAATAAGACCAACAATTTACTCAATTAGGAAACCAGTAGGTTGCGTTGAACAATATAGCCTTATAGAAGATGTCCAAATTCTAGATACAGAACAATTTTTTTTATGGAACACCCCGTATATTTTGGCAGAGCTGGAAAGTTCCCGTTTCAATTTCAAATATATATCTTATTTATTATCTCTTTGAACGCAAAAATATTAAGGCATACTAGAAATAATGGGTAAAGTATCATATTCAGGCATTCTGCCAGAAAATATTATGATTGTTAATGTTTCCATCAATTATTCTTACAGAAGATACGGGGGTGTACCCATAAGAAACATGACACACTGAATATATTTTTGCGAATATATCTGAAATTGTGGAAGGAAAAGGTAGGGTTATATATATATTTGTAATGAGAACGCCTGGGACTATTCAACTGTGCCAAAATATACGGGGTTTTCCATTAGAAAAAACATAATTTGCTGCCGTATTTTCTCAACGTCACCCTGTATAAAATTTCTGATGATGCCAATGGATTCCACGCATCATACTGTATAAATATACGTTTGAAATTTTTTGATACCTCTCACCGTAAAGTAGTCACAAAATAAAATCGAAATCGGCAAATTTTCAATTTCCCCCTGTATCTCTAAAACGAATGAAGACATCGAAATTTTGATTGTACCATTCGAGGTTTCTCCAAAATCGAACCCGGAACATGTATATCGGTTTTTTGATAACTCCTCTAGTTATTGAGATAGACGGTGAAAACGCCCAATTTTGCCCACCCTGTACGCTGGTATACCGATATAGGGAGTGTTGTATTTCGTCCAAGATCATTTATTCAAATATAACACTCATCATCAGTGCATACCTGTAAATAAGTAATCTGCTTTTAGCTATTGGAAAACATTTGTTTATGAAAAATTTTTTTTTTTAAGTTTAATTGAATTTGAGACTTGTTGATTGATTGATTGATTGATTAATAGCAAATTGATCAGTCAGGGTTCGAATCCCAAAACGCTGTAGCCTTTAGACCTTTTGTATTCATGATCATGCTGTTGACTTAGGTGAACAGGTTCGCTACCTTGATGAGGTTTAGCAGCCTCTTCACCAAATCATTCGTTGAAAAAGCCTCTTGAGAGTTTAATGCTCCCAGAAGGTTGTATCTCCAACGCGCTAGTGCTTCGCACTCCAATATTATTACATGGGTGGCAGTTTTCTCCTCCTCATTGCATAGTCTGCATATGGGTTCGTCTGTATAGATGCCCATTTGATGCATATGTTTCCTCAAGGGGCAGTGACCGGTTATTAGTCCCGTCACTTGTCTGATCTGACTTCTGTTTAGGCTCAGAATGTCGTTAGTCACTGTTCTGGACAGTGTTCCAACCATCAGTTTACTGTGTTTTTGTCCTGGGACATTGTTCCAGTATGCCTGATGTCTTTTTTGCATCCACCTTGCCAGCCAGCCGCGTATTGAGGTTTTGGGGATACCGAACACAGGTTCCGGTCCCATAAACAACGCCGCGGACCCTTGCCTAGCAAGAGCGTCAGCTGCTTCATTGCCTTCAATTCCCTTATGTCCTGGCACCCATCGAAGAGTTACCTTGTTGTGATTAGCCAGGGTTAGCAGGCTTTGAAGGCAATCCCAGACCAGTCTTGATCTGATTTTATTGCATGTTAAAGATTGAATGGCCGCCTGACTATCTGAGCATATGAGGATCTGTTTACCTCTGTATCCTCTTACGATATTCTCTCTCAGACATGCCTCATTTAAATTGTGTATAATGAGTTTATTTATAAGTTGATAGTTAAAAATTCAGATTTCAGATTTATTCAGATACCATAAGTTACTGAAAATTTTGATATAATGTTGACATTATGATTCCACTTCAAAAACGAGTAATCTACCTAAGCAATCGAGATGCTTTCGTAGCATTACGCGTTATTTTTGAGTGGTCTATGGATGAATTTGATATAAGCGAACAGATCGTGAAATTGGTCAGTTTATCAAGATCCAAGAATTAAGTTAAAAAGATAAAAAAGATAAAGAAAACGACAACTTTAGGAATCTATAGCGAACGCGAGAGGTGAAGGAATTATGGATATGCTGGGATTTATTGTGAGAAATAGAAGCTAGAGATTTCAGCAATTTTTTCAAATTCAATTTTTTTTTTTTCAATATATTTTCATTCTTATACTGGAATATGAATTGTTTGATTTTTATTCTTTTCCACCTCAAAAAAAATTTGATATACACCTTGGTGTATAAATAACTATTAATTAATAAAAACACCTAGAGCCATTTTCACTAGTTTATTGCTGGGTGCTATTTTCGAAATTTAAAGGGTTCTACATACATTTATTTGTTGTAAATAATAATTGAATAAAAGTTACATTTCTTTTAATTTGGGCACTAATCAACTTCATAATTCAAATACTGATATGGAATAGAGTCAGGTCGAGTCAAGTCTGATGACCGAGAGACCGTGTCCGGTCTAACCGATTGAAACGAAATAGGTATTCGACGTCCTGCAAACAATGGTGTTGGTTTTGAGGTCCCCTTCTGAGGCCACCGCTTGCGGGCAAAGTTTCTGGAACAGCTCAGGATTAGACCTGCAAGCGACCACTGCGTCGTCATCTTTGACTTGGTGCGAAGCAGGACAATGCTGGTTGATGTTGGCATTGCAAGCTGTCGGTTTGCAGAAATTGTTATGTCCCGTCGGTTGAATCTGGAAAAATAGTATATTATGTAACAAGTGTTATAAACGTCCTTTTAGTAACGAGTATTTTAAAACACGTTCGCTGCCTGGTGTATCATCAATGATACACCAGGTAGTGCTTTCCACAGGCCGGGGGTATCCTGAATGATACACGGACTATTATTCAGTCTGAACAGCGGTGTATTCTCTGTAATACACGGGCAATAAGAAATGTATTAGCTTATGATCTCTGCGGCCTGACAGCATAAAGAACAATTGAAAGTTTTGTTTGGCCTGGAGGGTTTTAGTGGGGACTTTTGTGTGGGTATAAATTACTTATGGGAGTAAAATAATTCGATTTATTCATGTGGCCCGTGAGGTCATTTTTTGAAATTTCAGCTCGGCAGCGAACGTGTTAAGCACGAGCGGAGCAGAGCGGAGCGAGTGTTTAATAAACGAGTATCTAGAAGAGTTTATAAACGCGTAACATACTATGCTTTTTCTACGAACTCCGAAAATTACATTAACATACCTGCTATTCCTGCTAACTTACAAAATAATGCGAAAGGAATGGGAATTTCGAACATAATACATGCATCTGCATGCAACCTGCGAGACACGTATAAGTGATATTGGTTGTAGATGTGTCCATTCCATTGCATACTAACCTTTGTTTCACGTTTATTGTCATGCTTAGCGCAGAATAAATAAATTGTTCTCAAAGATGGATGCTTCATTTTTTATACTTTTTGGAAATATGCAAGTACCAAAACATTCTCTTCGATTTCATGTTCGTCTACCATTCCGCATATATTTTTAATGAAGAATTCTGATACAAACGAAAATTGTTTGAATAATTCTCATACAAAATTAGAAAATGACAGTTGACAGTTCCTACAATTGACAGGCTAGACATGTCTCAAATTACTGAAGCTGTGTTTGATGAGCTGTGTTGCCGTAGTGATGTGTTCAAGAAAAAGTGTTGCCATGGTAACGTGTTTAATATTTTGAATAAATCACAGATCGTCAATCCGTGATTAATCGATCATTTAGCATGGTACATATCCGTACGCTAAATGCCATTTTAGTTATGTGAGTAAGAAAAATCCATTAAGACTTTGACTGCCATGCCAAATTTGATATGTGGGTCGCTGAATTCATGTGTGTTTTTTACAGTACAAGTATTTGAAACACCTATCCAATAACCTTTTACATACTGTCTGTAGGTTAATCGAGAAGGTGGTACAGGGTGATTCACCATAAATGTCCCCCCCCTCTAGCTCAGTTATTGTTGAACTGATTTGAAAATTTGAAATATCAACTTAAATAATTTTCGATAAAGTTTTTTTCCGCTACATCAGAGAATACAGGGTGCTCGGAACAAACGATCTACAGGGTACTATTTGATTTTTTCAAATGGAACACCCTATTTTTCATTGTATTTTTTAGATTCTCCCTGAAGAGCTGATTTCATCAATATATCACCCTAGGGGTCTAGCGGGCATAATTACAGAGGTAGTGTTCTAAATCGAGATTTTTACGATTTTTTTGTGACGAAACTATTCATTATCGGTCAAAACGGCTTCCATTTCCGTATCTTAACTTTTGATTCACTATCTACTAACATTTGATAATTGGAACAGATACAGGGTGATCAGAATTCTGAATCTTGAACCACCCTGTAAATGATTCGATTAAATGTCAGTAGATAGTAAATCAAAAGTTGAGATGGGGACATTGAAGCCATTTTGACCAATAATGAATAGTTTCGACACAAACAAAATCCTAAAGTTGAAAAATCTCGACTTTGAACACCCTATATCTCTGTAATCATCCCCGCTAGACCTCAAGTGTGATGTATTGATGAAATCAGCTCTTCAGGAAGAATCTGAAAATACAATGAGATACAGGGTGTTCCATTTGAAAAAATCAAGTAGTACTCTATAGATCGTTTGTTCCGAGCACCCTGTATTTTCTAATGCAACGGGAAAAAAATTCCTGAAAAATCATTTTAGATTATTTTTAAAATTTTCAAATCGGTTCAAAAATAAGTGAGCTAGATGGGGGGCCATTTATGGTTCAATGAAATTTTCCTAACAGAGAGCATAAAAGAAAAATTCACTAGCTTGTCAGTGACAATTTGTATTGAAAAAGGTTTGGGGAAGAGAAATAAAGGTATATGGAAAAAATATCGACTTTTTACTTATCTTTGGACGTTTCGGGAACGAATCTGCTCCCGTTTTCAAGTGAAAACTGTGTTCAAAACTGAAAATACAATGTGATCAATTCCAACTCAAACAAAGCCGAAAAATGAAGAACAATCGCCAAAAAATTGTATTTACAGTATACCTTGTGTTTGTGGAAAGTTTTATACAGGTGAAACCGAGAGACCTCTTTCAGTAAGGACGAAGGAATATAAGTACAATATAGAAAAGACACATCGACAAATCGAAACTAGCTGAACATATCCTTACTGAAGATGGACAACAACTGGCAGAGTGGAATAATATTGAAATCATTGGAAAAGAAGATAACAACCAGAAAAGACAAATCAAGGAATCTGCATGCATTCTTCTGAACAGAGACATTGTTTCCTTAATAGTTGATATAGATAGAACAAGGTATTCACTATTGAAATCTGAAAATGAAAATTTCGAATTCAAGATTAATTAATGAAAACATCCTGTAACACATTTGATTGTCAACGTCACCAATTGTTATCGAGAACTGAGGAGTGTCAAGGAAAATACAAATTTGCCATACAAAAATTCATTTTTTATGTCGAAAACGGGAGCAGATTCGTTCCCGAAACGTCCAAACAGAATTACACATGGCAGTTAAAATGTTAATATATGGGACATAGAGCTACCAAGTGTGGAAGAAGTCAAAATAAGTTGATGGGACCCAATTTATTTATCTACGAAAATGTACCATTTGTCCGTGAGAAGAGTTCTGAGTTCAAAAACAACAAGGTGGCCGTCATATTGAATATTTATTATACAGAAAGTTCTGCATTTGTTTTCACTGTCGACTGAATTTTGTATTACAATTTTATTGAACCTCTACTGGGAATACCTGTGAGCATTATCTAATGAAAAATTTTTTTCTTCGGAAATATAAGGAATACAAAGTGCTTACAAGAGTAACAAAATAAAGATAAAAAATCAGCTTTCTCGTTAAAAATAGAGAAACGTATTGACATGTTTTTCAGAACATTCTTAATATATTAAGGGTGTGAGGGTAGTTTCAATCCTTCTACAATTTCCTTTGAGTTATAGCTCCAAAACTGAGGAAGGATCAGGAGCTGGTATTTATCGGGCCAAGCCAAAGACAAGGATCTCACTGAGCTTAGGCAAATACGCGACGGTGTTTCAGGCAGAAATTATTGCAATACATCATTGCGTGAAAGAATTGATAAGGCAAGAGTTTAAAGGCAAAACCATTGCAATCTATTCAGATAGCCAGGCGGAAATCAAAGCAGTCAACTCTATGCAAGTTAACTCAAAACTAGTATAGGACTGCTTAGAAACCCTAAATGCACTGGGCAGTCAGAACAGATTAACTCTAGCATGGGTACCAGCACATACAGGGTACGAGGGCAATGAAGAGGCAGGCTCACTTGCCCGAGCAGGAGCAAAAAAAGCTCTTAATGGCCCAGAACCCTTCTGTGGTATTGCGAAAGCTATACAAAAGACAAGTATCAAATCATGGATGCAAACCAAATCTCAAGAATGGTGGAACAACTTGCCAGGAATGAGACAGGCAAAAGAGTTTATTAAAAAACCATCGCCAACATTCACAGAATATCTACTAAGCCAGAAACGAAGTTCAACTAGAATACTAGTGGGATTTCTCACAGGGCATTTTAGGCTCAACAAACACATGAGTACGATAGGTCTGACTGAAGAACTGCTGTGCAGGATCTGTCAAGAAGAGGAAGAAACAGCAGTACACATACTTTGCCACTGTGAGGGCTTGTCAAGACTAAGACACCCATACGCTGGGTGAGGAAAAACCAGGAGCCCAGAGATACACAGGAGATCTGAAAGCTAGCTTATGGAGTCTCATAGAGAAGGCGGGGCTAGCCGAAGAACTCTGATCGATTTTGAGGGCAGACACAATAGATCTGAAAGGGTCGCAGTGTGGAGGCAGGTAGCCCGAAGGCCCCATTCCAAATCTAATCTAATCTAATCCTTTGAGTTTCTTCGATCACTGAAAGGATAATAATCCTCTCAAATGCACTTCTGTCAAATTTCATTGAAATTGTTTCACTCATTTCTGAACAGCGAACAAAAATGTTTTTTTTATGTAAACTTTGAACTCGTCTCACGGATAAACGGTATATTTTGGAATATAAGTAAATTGGGTCCAATCAACTTATTTTGTCCTCTATTACATGTGGTAGCTCTGTGTTTCAGCAATTTTGGGACACCCTGTAATATTGTTATTATTGTTAGGAGACTACTTTATGCGGAATAGACGTCGCACCGCTGATGCTGTTTGTTTCGTAGAAGAGATTTGAATATTTGGCGGAAGATGTCGAAATATCAGCGGCAGTAAATTATAGTCTAGGAGCTGACAACAAGATTCATTGTCCGATTAATAGATCGATATCTCCTACCTTATTGCACTGCCGTAACATCACCAATAACTGTTCGGGATGTCTGGCAGGTTTTCAGTGGAGGAGGCGGTCGCGGTATGGCCATAAAGGGAAGAGAAAAAAAATCACTGCAACTACGATTGATAGAACTCTGATATTTTTTGTGATGGTGGCTGATTATGTTCGCTTTTCAATCAAAGCTATACCAGACATATTGACTGGTGGAATCATACCGCCAGTCAACTAGAGATGCAAACTATCGATAGTATTGACTATCGATAGTTCCAAGAAAAACTATCGATAACTATCGATCCGATCAGAAAATTGTGGCATTTGACGTAGAACATATAATTTCAGTGAATTGACCACAGAAATTGACTTTTGGAAATGGATTTAACACCCCTGCCAACCAAAGAGTCCAAAGACTCCA